TGTCACTGGCTTAAAGGAAGCTGCTCTCTCTCTCTTTCTGTCTGTCAGCACTGCCGTATACATCTGGAGCAGCGTAATTGCCCTGTAATATTCTGCCAAACACACCTTGTACCTCCTTGATATCTCAATCCTCTACTTTTTTCCATGACATTTGTTTTGAGAAGTCAGTCCTGTCAGCTCCTGCGTTCAAACGCACACAAACATACCTGTGTGTGTTTTTGTAGCTTATATGCAGATAAATGATTCAAATCAGTCATAGCTCAAAGAATTATGTACATTAAAAAATACAGTTTTATCAATATTTACATGCTGTCAAAGTCGTCTTCTTCTCCTTTTTTTATTTTTGATAGAATTTATTTTAGCAAGGACACATTAAATTAAACAAAAGTGACATTAAAAACATTCATAATGATAATCAAATAAATGCTGTTCTTTTGAACTTTCTATTCATCAAAGAATTCTGGGGGGAAAATGTCTCAATTTCCAGAAAAAAATATTAAGCTACAAAAACTGTATATAAAAAAGCTTGTTTTCAGCTTTGATAATAATTTTTTTTTTAAATGTTTCTTCAGCAAGTCGACATAATGAATGATTTCTGAAGGATCATGTGACACTGAAGACTGGAGGAATGATGCTGAAAATTCAGCTTTGCATCACAGGAATAAAATACATTTTAAAATATATTAAAATAGAAAACAATAACTTAAAACTGTAATAATATCTCACAATATTACTTGCAAAAACTTTAAAAATCTTGCAGACAAACGGTACTATTTATATACACATATTTTCTCAGAATGCATTTCCCAGAATAAATTCTACTTCCTGTCATTCCAATTCAACTTCCTGTGGAGTATGCCCAATTCAATTGAATGTATTTGTTTTTCATGTCCATCTGACCACTTCTATCTGCTTACACTGATATTTATTGGTAAAACGAGAATATTGGTGTGCATCAATTGATACTAGACTTGATACTAGGACAAAGAAAACTTAAATTTAGTAGCAAGAATCACAACTGGCCTCTAGTTTTTCAACTGGTTTCTTGTGATAGGTGCTCCAATTTGTTCTGGGTATTAAATAAACCATGAAGCTTCAAAAACTCTCAAACGCACAGTCTGAAATATTCATCAGCTTTGTTAACAAAGAGAGAGCGAGAGAGCAAGTGCTCTTATAAACTCAACAACAGAGCCGAGAATAATAGATAAGAAACCAACACAATATTTCCCTGCTCATTTCTCCCTTTTCAACAATAAATTAATTCAAGCAGAATACTGTAGAACATCCATTCCACATGAAGATCATATAATTATCTATATCCATCTTTTTTCCTCTCCACAGGCTTTTGGTAAACCGCAGGCTTGCCGTAAGGAATCCGTGAACCCTGAGTGCCGGATTCACCGCGGGAGAGAATAACACAAAAACACTGAATGCAACTACTGATGATGATACAACCACAAATTCCTCAAATACTCAGATCTCAGCTGGAGCAGAAGCAACATTATACGGTTATGATAATGCTGCTTGAAATGGTATGTGCTTTCCTTCCAGGTCTCATAAATCATCTTTTTGTCTTTGTCCTGTAGAGGACACGGTCATCGTGTGTCCTGCGTCCACTGGGAGAGTGTAAGATACATTAGTTAGTTTGAGTCAGGGCATGTGTGCACTCATATCTGCAAACATGTGCACTTTCTGGGAACACGAGTGGACTGACCTACAGCAGAGTCTGTATTATGGGTTGCACATGTAGTCAATTAATTCTACCACTATACGATGCTATAGGTCTGTATAAAAACATACATTGTACTTGTCAGTTGCACAAAATTAATGTCTTCAAAACTGTTCAGCATCATATGCATATACTCTATATATGGTATTATACTCAACTTTACCTGAAGAAAGTGCAGCTAAAGCACTTTCAATTCACTAAGCATATTAAATACATATTATTGGTTTTGTGTTAAAGCACCAGCTTTTCACAGAAAATGTGATGCTGTAATGATGAAATGAGCAGTGAGCAATACTAAACAAAGGAGATGAATATAAAACATTTCAGATCAGAGTCCAACCGAACACGTGGTAGCTGGGCAAAAGCATCTTTACCTTCATAAGTTGGCAGCCAGCATTAGTAAAATATGCAAAATCAGAGCCAAGTAGCAAAACTGTGGCCCAATTTAGTCTCGACATCTTCCAAAAGACTAGAAGGACACATGAATGACTGAGGCAACCACACTAATTTCTACCAACAAGACCATCTAGACCTTGCCCATCAGGCCAGACTCGTTCTTTTGTGGCCTTCAGGTCATATGGTGGCTTCAAATCATGTAAGATCAAATTTAGAAGTTGAATGCAAGTCGTAATTATGAATGGGATTTTCTTTAGTTTCCAAGTTGAGAGCATCACTGAGAAAACACGTAGGATGCAATAAATTATTAAAATTAATGTTTTTTTTTGTTTTTTTTTAATGAAACTAAGTTGCATATACAAAACACCATAGTGTTGTACAACTGTGATAGAATATATGATTAAATTTACAGAACATTTATAAATTGAATAAAAGCATAAAAAAGCAAAAACATACCCTATGCACATTCTTTAGTAATCCTTTTGTAGACGTAGAGTTAAAAAATGAATTTAAAACACGTAGGATGCAATAAATTATTAAAATTAACGTTTTTTTTTGTTTTTTTTTAATGAAACTAAGTTGCATATACAAAACACCATAGTGTTGTACAACTGTGATAGAATATATGATTAAATTTACAGAACATTTATAAATTGAATAAAAGCATAAAAAAGCAAAAACATACCCTATGCACATTCTTTAGTAATCCTTTTGTAGACGTAGAGTTAAAAAATGAATTTAAAAAATATTTTGATTTAAACTTTAAAAAATTAATTTTATGTAGAAAAGGTACATCATCATCTTGATCCAACCAAAGTTATTCGAACACAACTGATGACGTAATTGCTCAATATTTTTATGGGATGAATTTGCTATCATTATCTCTGGCCACATGTGAATGTTAAACACCTGAAAATAAAAGAAATCGGTTAAAACAAAAGAAATAAATATGAAACTTAACAAAAATTTACATTAATTGTAGTTTTCCTAAACTCTTAAGTAGCAGTATTTAAATATACGATTCTAAGCAAAGACACTCATGTATATAGACAACACCCAGCTGAGCCTAATCTATCCGATTTGAACCTCTCATGCTCTTTCTGTCTGTTCCATTAACCCACTCCACCTTTGACCTGCCTCAGCTCGAAGCAGAACATCTCTGTTAATAGATGCTCTTGTATGGTTAAAGAGCTCCAGCGATTACCTCTACAGGAGGGCATTCTGGAAAGAAAAGATCACTTTCTGCTTGTCTTGGCCGTGGCGGGATGCACAGGAAAAGAAAGCGGTATTACTCAAGACTTTAGCACTGATAAATGAGTTCTCCCATCAGCCCAGAAACAGTCATTTCCATTTCATTGCACTCCACATGTGGTTGTCACCGCCATCCGCGGCCGTGCCCCGAATCAGACAGAAAGCCCTTGTTGTCGAACCCAGAGCAAAGACAGATCCCGTGTTGGTGTTCTGGCACGATGTGGTTCATTTGGGACTTGTTTACTTGTGTAAAGTGATTATTAATTAGGTTTATAAAGGTTTAAACTGTCGTTTATTTTCTTCCTTTAAGATGCAATGAATTTGTGCGTGTGGATTTGTGTGTGCGATTGTGACCTACTGACCTTGACTTCCTCAGCAGGGCACCGCATGCACTATTGACCAAATGATGGAGGAGATGAGAAATCCTGATTGGAGAGGAGCCCTGACCTTGAAAACACAAGCACACATGCTTCAGGCGGTGAGGTTATCTGAGGTCACGCTCTATTGTAAAGTATGTGTGAGGAGTTCACTCCCTCTCTAACCTGATCTGAGGCAGCTTGACCTCAGAGAAACGCCGTCCAGCGCTGAATCTCTCAGATCAATCATAACAGCAGCACTGCGTGACTCTCGTTCAGATGTGAAGTCATGGGATATGAGATATAACTGTGCCTGGAGTGTGTGTCTGCGCGTACTTGTGATTATGAGGCTGTGGCAGAGATATGGGGTCAGGTTGTTTAATCTATATTACATCACATGTATTGAACTCTTGTGTTTAACCCTTAAATGGTTTTTGTATCCTGAGGGAGATAGATATTGGAGAGCCTGGGGGAGGAACAGTCAAGTCAAGTCAAGTCACCTTTATTTATATAGCGCTTTTAACAATACAGATTGTGTAATAATAATGTGCAACAGTGAGTGAGACAAAAATAATATACTCTGGTATCAAAACTCCATCTTTATCTAAATATAAAATGATAAGATATCATTTTATAAAACTATAAAATTTAAAATAAAAAGCAGCATTTTGAAGACTATTTATGTTCTATTTAATGTGGTAATAGCAAATCATTTTTATGGTATTTTGTGAATAAACAATGGCAAAACAAAAAACATCTGCCGTTATATTAAATAATGGAATGCTAATTTGAAAACAATGAATTGAATAAATTATATATCTTCCATTCTGTGCCATAGCCAATCAAGGATTACTTGAAAGGATTGTTCACCAAAAAATTACTGTCATCTACTCACCACATACTTTTTTCATACACTATCATATACCTTCAGAAGACGTGAAATATACTCTTTTTGGAGCTTGACAAGACCATGGTAAACATAAACTGTCATTGTATGGAAAAGCAGTCTGGACGTTCTGCTAAACATTCTTTTGTGTTTACCTGAAGGAAAAAAAATCATACTTGGTTTGACTGACATGGAGAGAGGAAGACAGAACTATTGTGAACTATTGTGTAAATAATTTCTTTAAATAATAAAGTCATTTTCTTTTCTTGGTTGCACAGTTAAGTAGAAATTAAAAGTTTATTTCAACACCATGGTCATTTTAAATATCGTCATATGCCATAAACAAATTACCTACAGTAAGACATTGCAAAAATACAAAAATAATGTAATTTACTCAGTGAAATTTAAATGCTTGGCTAAAGCTGTAATCTCAAAAGAGAATTCTATGTAAATAATCCTAAAGCATGCACAATCTCATGTACAAATAATATAAATATTTACATACATTCAACATGAATGCAATCTTACTCTTGGTTAAAATTAAAGCGCAATGAACTGGTGTTATGTTGTTTTGAAAAACGTCCCCAATCCAGACATTTTTAGACTGGAAAAATCTTTGTTTTGAACATTGTTTATAGATTTACAGGAATATAATTTTAGTATACCATACCTTGCCCAAAGGGGCTTTAACAAAACTAATAGATTCTGACGTATTTTCAAGATCAATCAAGATGACTGGTGTTCAAGTGGGCATTTTTGCAAAAGGTTCATTTTTAAATGGTAAAGAATCTGTGCGTCACTTTTTTTAAGGGACTGGTCCAAACGAAAACAATATTTCTGAAAGATTTTTTGCTTGACTGGTCAAGAGATGATTAATTTCTGTCTTTGTATTTGGTTTAGAGTTCATTTTAATCCACATCCAGAGGCTCCATGGGCATTGTGACCCGTCTAACCTCACACTCGATTCCAGGCCTCATTGGCGCCTCTAGTGGTGGCGTCGGTTCCTGCTCTTGCGGAGCTCTTGAACATGCTTCCATTTGCCCTTCTGTTTTTGCTTCTTCTCTTTGTGCCAGAGCGTTTCGCAGTACTCATCCAGAGAGCGCACAGGAACACTCAACCTGCGCAAGTAGTCCTTATAGCGCTGACGAGGTTCGGTCACAGGCGGATTATCTGATGATTCCCGTGTAGCAGGTTGGTGTGCTTGGATCTGGACGTCCAGGACGTGAAGAGAGAGGTGGAGGAGGGTACGGGTGAAGCTGTGCTCCTGGGAGGTGCAGAAGTATGAACCTGCGTCGCTACGATGGAGCCAACGAATCAGCAAACCTCGCTCGGTTATCAGCACACGCTCATCCGGTTTGATCTGCAACAAATACACAGAATTACTGATTCTTTCATAAAAATCAACCATATCAACAAATACTTTCTTGGACACACACAACAGCTTAATCACAGCCAAACAGTGATTTTATGTGTCACTTGCTGGGTTTATTCTCATAAATCATTCTGCCCAGGATCCCACAGCGAGACTCCTTCAAGGTCAGAGATCAGTCTTTAACCTCGCTCTCCATTTCCTGCTGACCTCACATTACCTCACATCTGATTGATCATTAGAATCTAATTAGATAAATTAGTAGACCCTGTGATTTCAGGGTCTACTTTCAACTTAAAGTGTTTGCATGATCTATTGCACTGATTTATATCCAAGGTGTCCATCTTTCTGGTGACCTCTGACATAGGAAGTGCTCTGTGTTCAGTGCACACAAACCTGTTTGTGAAATCTGGTTAATTCATATGAATCAAAAAATTGTTCGTCACTTTGATTCACCATTTAAAAAGTCCCTGTGTATGGCATTTTTTTCTAACTTTTTTTTACTCAGAGTGCAAAAAAAACATCTTCCAAATCAGGTCTTTACCCATATATGATAAACCTATAATAACGATTTATATTTTAGAAGTGTCTGGACAGATTTCACAGGAAATTTCATATTATTTGCATGCTATTTGCCCATCTGTGTAACATTGTGTTCCTACACAGAAAAAAGTAGCTCAGCCTCAGGCTGTGGGTAGCGTGAAGCTGAAAGTTTGTTGTCATAACAAACAAGAAAAATTGACCATGGATCATTCAAAATGACAAATTTTCAAAATAATGTTTGTAAAAACAGCAACAAAAAAAGACGAGATGTTCTATATCCATCTGTGCACCGGTGCCTCGAACCACATTTATCCATGCAACATTATTTAGTAAGAGGCATGCAGATTTAGTTTTAAATCATAATGGGCCAAAGTTATACAGTGTAGTTTTAAAGGCTGCTGATGTCACAATCTTTTTGATTTAGTTGTATAAATAAAGCAGATTTACATTGCATTATGCATATTTATTATAAATTTAAGTTCAAGACTGATGCTCTCAAGCAAAGAAAGATCTCTTTTCACAGATTTCGATTTAGTCAAATGAATCAGTTTTGCTGAATCATTTAAAATAACTGATTCAAAATAACAATTTACCCATAAATCAGTCATCTCCACCATTTTAAATCATGCTAATATTTTCTTTCTGTAAATATCAGTTTTCCATCTCTTCACCTCCCTTCCCTTCCGTTCCAGGCTGCTTATTCTTTCTCTCTCTTAATTTTTTTTCTGTTATCTGTGTTTTTGAGCCTGCTGATTTCTCCTGCTAGTCACGCTGTTGTCGTGGACTAAATCAATACAGCTGTGCAATAAGAAGAGGAGGGAAAGAAAGCTTCAAAGCATACTGAATCCCTGTAAAACGCACACAAATCGCTTACCGCTGCATCGTCTTATGCTAATCTCTCTGCCATCTAAATGACGCTTCAAGAAAATGCAATAGCCATAATTGCACCAAACAACTCTTTATATATTTGCATTTTAAATTTGGAGTGTGACTTTTAAGTGAAACCTTGCAGAAACGTGCCAGGAATGAGAGGAAATAGGGCGGTTTCGCACTGTCTGCAGCACCTGTGACAGCTGGAACTAAATCAGAAAGGCTAAGGGCACATGAGTGTCAAGATGAAACGCGTGTGTATATCATGGAGATGTTCTGGTGTGTGGGTGTGTTTTAAGTGAATGTGTGTGTGTCTGTGTTTCGTATCTCGGCAGTATATCACGGCGTGTAACTACCGCTGAAGGTTTTATTGGAGGGCAGGAGGAAACTGGCCTCTGATCACAGACACAGGTTTAAGTGCAGCATCGGTCTCAGTGCCGGGTCAAAGGTATTAAAACCACGATACGAGGCCTCTGTCTGTCTGCGGCCCCTCCGCACACTGCTGGGTCTGGCTGTGGGTTTTGAGAAAAAGAGAGAAGGTCTGGAACCTTCAACACAGGATCTGTATCACATCTCAAACACTAGTTGGCCTGCCGGTGACCCACAGTCCTATGGGAAATTATATTTAGTTGTAAAAAGAGGGTAGTGAAGAGCAAGGAAAAAATGGGTAGAGGGATGGAGGGAAAAAGAGGGAGAGAAGGCATGAAGGAGTGAGAACAGCCCTGTTTAGAATTGGTAGTCAATAACAGGTTCTTATTCAGATTTTAAAAATAATACTGGCATGATTTTCATGACGTTTGGTTCTGTTAATAGTTCCAGAATGTCAGCTTGTCATAATAAAATATGCTGCATACTTAATGCTTTTAAACTTTAGACTAAAACTTTGCTGTTGTCATGTCGGCCCTGCTTCATTTGGATTTTATTTGAAATATCACCTTTTCAAAAATGTAATTATTCAAATTACTTAGAATCAGCATACAGTAAATCTGTTAATCGTGAAAACAATTAAATTGAATTAGTAGAACATGGTTCAAATATGGCTAGATCAAGCAAGATTAATTTAGTTTTAAAATGTATGAGATTGGTTTGCATAATAATTTTGATTTATTGATGATAAATATATAAACCTAGTTAAAGCATATTTAATACACATTCAGGGTATTAGCACTATGACTTGAGTCAAGCCAAGTCACTTTTATCTATATAGCGCTTTTAACAATACAGATTGTCAAAGCAGCTTTACAGTATTAAATAGGAAAATAGTGTGTGATAATGCAGAAGGACAACAGTAAACACTCAATTTTCAGTTAAACTTACTCTTTCTTGTTTCATATATGCAGTTTAAATACATAAATCTTAACATAGGCCTAATTATTTTTAAGTGTATCACCTTTGCATGCCTTTAGACTTTTTTTTTTTTTTTTTACAACAAAATCAATCCAAGTCAGTTTAGGCATTTTTTAAGAATTACGTAACAAGTTAATTGTTTTTATAGAATTGTTAAAGAGCTAAAATCAGAATTAGAACCAGAATAAATAAATTCTTTACAGTTCCCATTCCATAGTTCTCTTGTTGTGTTCTCATCTATGTGGGATATGAAGGGTCCATTCTGTTATTGCAACCAGATATCTATTTACTCTGATTCGATAAACATTCACACAAACACCCAAGCGCTGTTTTCTCTTCTATCATTCATTATTGTCTTTTACAAGGTGAAGTGTGGGCTGATATTTCAAGATTGCACCACACGTGTGAGATTGTGCGTGTGTTGCAGGTGTTTTGGGCAGCTGTGTGGTAGGGAGTCGTTTTGTGCTGTGGGAAAGACAGGAGGAGAAGAAAAGCAGGAAGGGAAACTAAAACAAAACAAATGCATCATAACAGGAGTAATGTTTACTTGAGACGTGGGACAGCAGGATATTTCTAAAAGCAGGAAACGGCATGTTTTTTCTCAAATTGCATCTACCCTGTGACATTTGTGCTGAGATTTGACCTTCTGCTGTCATGCCTCCCCAAACGTGTCTTCAAATCAATTCTCTCTCACACACACACACACACATACTCCTGTTGGGACTAATTGTTGTGGTGATGGATCAATAAAAGGATATGCTGATCTACCACTCCAGAGTCAGGTCTTGGCCCCCGTCTATTCATCACAGCTAATAAAGACAAGAGACACCCACGGCACAAGGTTAAATTGACCTCTGTATCCACACTACACTCTTAAAAATAAAGGTGCTTCACGATGCCATAGAAGAATCTTTTTTGTCTAAATGGTTCCATAAAGAACGTCTCGGTTACGTATGTAACCCTCGTTCCCTGAAGGAGGGAACGGAGACGTCACGTCGGATGACCGACGAATTGGGATCTCTGTGAAGAACCTTTTAAGCACCTTTATTTTTAAGAGTGTATGAACTTTCCACTTCACACATAGCTCCATTACTACTCACTTGAAAGGACTGCTGTTCACAAATGCTGCATAAATCTGTTTTAGAAGATAGCACAAATAAACTCCCTCAGGCAGTTTAAAGGGACAAAGATATCTGAAAGATGAATGAATGAATTGTATGTGTTTCTAAAGTAAGATATGCATGTCACCCAGTTGCAAGACTCCCAATCGACAGCAGTGAAGATGAGATGAGATTAAATGCGTAGGTGTAAAACATTGAATAAGAGAGATGAATCCACAAGTGAAGGTCACTTCTTGACAGCACTGCTGTGTTTTGTATCTCTGTTTGTGTTCCCTCAGTTTCTAAGCCTCAGGCCATTTTCACAATTACCAATAGAACTGTTCCAGTTCTCTGTTTCTCTGTTATAACACATTGTTTAGTAAGACGATCTTCAGAATTATGCAACATCTATTTTTCCTAAGCATCAGGGGGTTCAGAGTTACTGTAAATCAGCTTCTAGAGAGTGTCCGATCATAAAAAGCCTATGATATTCAAAATATATTGTTATGAAAGAGAAACTATGACTGGAATACACCCAGGCTGTACTTTATATATTTATGCTAAGTGATGTTTAAAACACTGCGAAACAAAACAGTCATTTTTTTAAATCCATTTTATGGTACAACCATTCATTTTAGTGACTTTTTAGTGGTTTTGTTAATATGGTTCATGTAAACAAAATAATTGATCAAATAAACAATTCACCAACTAATTTTATTCTTTGCATCCGATCTAAAGTAAAATACTGAAATATATAAATAATAAATACTTATTAAATATTTACTATGGAGTGTAACTAACTACTTACTAACTGACCAAAAAAAGAAAGAGAGAGAGAGAGCTAGGAAAGTGTGTGAATGATACACACACACACACACAAAGGCACAGACTGCGACAGATGTATGTTGATTTTACCTCTTGACGTTGGTCCGCTCCTGGCTTCAGTATGAACCAGCGAATCAAGGCCTGCTGGGATTTTGAAACGCACTCAAGAAAAGAGGAGTTACTCTCTACTCCATACAACACCTTCTCCTCGACATTCCTCCCTAACACTGCCAAAGATAGAGAGAGAGAGTGATCAGCATATCAGAAAGACAGTAAAGGTATTTTTTGGGTTAGTGTTGAGATCCATTAGGTAAGCCCCACAGGACAATGCAGCATCTTAAAACAAAACAGAGCTTTTAGTGCTTTTATGCTCTATATGTGCACACACACACACATATGCCTCCTTACCATCCTCTGTGTCCCAGCAATGGCTGGATGGGTCTCCATGTTTGATATCCTGCCTTCTGGCCCTCCTGTAAGCACAAGTAAAAAAGCCTTTTTTAGATTCAGATTCATTTTGATTTTAGACTTCTTAAACAACAACAATTTTTAAAGAGCTGCTGATCAAATTAAGGCAAATACAGCTTGAGTGTTTAATATTGTTCAGCATCCATTCATTAATATTCAAACAGTATAACATTTTCAGACACATAATTTGTATAATGGATATGCATTCTTCTTGTTATGCCAAGCTCTAAAATATTTTATTGGGTAGAAATTGTGCGTGAAAAATATTTTTTAAATCCTTATTGAGAAAATCACAAACAACTGAAAAAGTGGGTCATGGGGTCTATGAATATTGTTGTAGACAATGGAGTCCTGGAGCCAAAAAGGTTGAGAACCACTAGATAAATCAATCATAAATCCAAAATAGCAAGAGCAATTAGAACAAAAGATATAAACTGGCTGATCTAAAGGTTAATCTTCAGAACAAGAAAAGAATAAGACTACAGTCATGCTATGTATTTTACTCCATTTTAAACACAAAAGCAGTACCACCGTGATTTTTCTAAAAATACCCTTAGCTCTTTCTGTAGTACAACAAACTTCAGTGAATCTTAATGAAGCCACAAAGCGTATTTCAAACAGAGCCATCTGACAGCCAAATAATCTCCAAAACAAACTAAAATTCCTCTCTCTGTGTGTCTCCCTATCTCTCGCTCGCTCTCTCTGCAGGACTGACCTGGCCTCCTTGCGTCAGTGGCAGACCGGAGAGCCGGGGAGAGAAAGGGCAAGAAAATTTCTCTGGCAGCTCACATACATCATCTCAACAACAAAGCAACTTTAATCAATTTGCCTGTCCAGTCCAGTCCCACTACACCTTATGGAACAGGAAAAATCAAATATTTATCATTTTCTTCTCTGTGCTGAACTCCAGGAAACAACTCACCCTGGAGAAGTAGGTCAGAAAGAGGGCACCACAAAACCCTCTCTCTCTTTTAACTTTCTGCTATCCCAAAAACCTCAGAGCACCAAACTGCACATGGTGCACATCTCTGGGATATTGTAGGACACATGTGGCTTTGCGTTTTTGTGTGTGTCGATAAGAAGACAGAACAGTTAAACAGAAGTGCTGACTCTGTGAATCAATGTCAAGGCTTTGCATCGACTCTTTGGGACAATGTCTTTATCGGTTCATGTGTGTGTGTGTGTGTTACCTTTTGGAGGCTGGAATGTATCTGGAGCACTGGGCGCCGTCCCAAGCGCAGTAGGGGTCTCTAGCCAGGCAGCATTCTGCACAGCCCTGCCCATAAATATGGCACCTGTGAAGGGACACCTGCACCAACCCGTCGCTTCCTCCAACAAACAGCTGCTGCTGCAGACACAAACACACACACACACACACATAAACAAAGTACTAAACCAGGTGCAATGAAAGTGCTTACTGGATTAAACTCTCTAACAGAGTTATCAATCAGCATAATTTGTCTTTTTGGTCCAACAAACTCTAAAAAGAAGCATGTGTACATGTGACTCAGAGAAATGAGCAAACAACAATATGTACAATAAAAGTTGTGGTGCTATTGCTTTTCTCTCAGCATGAGTCTGAAAAAAATCAGGCAGTCACAGCAGAGCTTCCCATAAAACAGCCTTGTAAAAGCAAATGCTGTTCAGGAACTTATTTGAAACCATTTAATGATTTCAAGTGGTAATATTCACTGTAGCGAATTAGAGGCAAAAGTAAAATGTTGATTAGATAATGAGACAAAGTTTCCATCCGACCCCTGTATTATCCATATGATTTCTTATCTGTACTCTATTATCCTCTGCTATTAAAAAGAAAAAGGCCTTAAAAAATTATAATTGTGGAAAGAATTGGTCAAGTGGCCTGCTGATGTAACCATAAGGTTCTATCTTTGTGCAGTAGAGAGGACAAAAGCTTTTTGGGTGACCGCAAACTTAACCATGAACTCCAAAATATAATAAGAGATAATTGGACAAATGGGAGTGTAAAGGAAAAATGAAAGGAATGGCCAAAAAACAGGAGAAACAGACTTATCTGTGAGACTCTGATAAAACAGTACAAACAATGGAGGCCATAACACATCTGTTATGAGACTGAGGCTTGAGTTTGTTTTTCTTAAATATAACAAACAGTCCTGTAGAATGTCTAAAACAGCTGGCTGGTGAACGCTGTCAGTCAATTCTTGAGGAAATAATTTATGAAATTATTAATTTTCTTTTTTTATTTCCCAAGCTAAATATTTCGTTTACTAGAACCAAGTTTGAACTTCTGTTCTTACCTGCTTTGAGGAGATTTCCATGTTGAGGATGGGCGAGGGACTCTGGATAAATAAATACACCAATATTGTTAGAAGGTGAACTTTTTGTTTATTAGTGTTTGTTTATTGTTGTTATTAGTGTGTTGTTGTTCATTCATCCTCTTTGCAACATTTACCTTGAACACCTGAAGCTCCTCTAAGATGATCTCCTCTGTGGACCAGTTTTCTTGAGTGATGCTGACAACCTTCAAAACTGATCCCATATCTGTACAGACACACACGCACACATTTTTGTATCTTAAGCTGTACTGCCATCTGCTGGTTGTTTTACAAGAAAATACTATTTCCGTTTTTTCTGCTTCTAAACTTCAAGTTTAATTCAGTTTGTTACAATGTGTAATTATTTGTGAAATTTCCAAGCAATTTCTGAGTGAAAATTGTTTCTACACCAGTATTTTTTTCAGTGTACAGGGTTTAAAGTGTATCAAACCTTTACTGCATTTTGGACACCACAATTAACAAGCAAAATGCTGTCTTTGTAGCCACTTCACTGGCTCATTAAAGCTTTTTAAAATACTAAAATAAAATATGCATCATATTTTCTTAATTAGTGCAAAATGCAACATTATATCTAATTGTTACATATCACTAGTAACATTTGTGTTGTCTTTTTTACCTGTGCCCAAGAACATAACAGCATACTGTCCATCCTCAGCTGCCACGCGGTCCACTACAATCTGAGTAAGCCGATACTCCGTATTGATACGAGTGAAAATTGGCCGGCCCGTCATTGGGTGCACAGAGCGGTACATTAGCGGGTGCAGCCGTATAAAACTAATGACTTCATCTGGAAAGTCTTTAGTCGTTTTTATATGAGGATCATATGTCCGACTGGGGCACTGTGAAAGAAAGATATGATTTACAGTTATACATTTTTAAATTAAAACAGTAAAACATCCTGGAAGTAATTACAAATATGCACTCAAATGAAGTAATGTAACTGCCTTTGGCATTATAATAAATGATGTATTTGTGTAAACCAGGAACATCCAATCATGCTCCAGTAGGGCCAGCGTCCTTCAGAGTTTAGCTCCAACACACAATGCCTGGGAGTTTTTGGTGAGTCTGAAGACCTTTACTAGCTGGTTCAGGTGTGTTTATTTAGGGTTGGAGCTAAACTCTGCAGGACAGTCGTCTTTCAGGAGCAGGTTTGGACACCCCTGGTGTAAACAGTATTTTGAATCACTGTATGTAAAGTGTTAGGCATATATAGAGCTATGTCTCCCTCTAGTGGTAATGTATAAAACTCCTCACTCAAAGTATCAGTGACAAAAAAGTGAGACGAAAAACAACCCTAATAGAGTGTTACTAACAGTGCCTGGTCTTGGGTAGGGGATTCTGCCTTCATATTCCACCCAGCGATGGTCCGGTCCCTCTTTATGAGCATACGGTCCATTAAACACAGCACGGATGTCTTCCATGTTGTAGACACATACCGCTGATCCTCTAAAGATAGAACTGACCCCAAAAAATATGTTGAAAACAAAACAACATGAATACCACAGTAAAAGAAAGGGCATTACAAATGGGCAAATATACAAATAACCATGTTTTTAATTGCTATATTCATCTATAAAATATATTTTTAATCATTTTATACCAAATCAACATTTCACAATGGATTTCAAGCTATGGTACTCAGACCAAAAGCAATGAAATATTGACATGCTCACTGTAGGATCTGTGTCTCACCTGGTGGTGGTGAACACTCCGTACACCACTGGATTTCTTTCATCTCTGCTAGGGAGGAGAAAGATGTCCTCTGTAACACACACACACACACACACACAAAATAAATAAAAAAAATCACAATAAACATCTTTTTAAATGCTAAGAAGTATAATAAAACTGAAATATGTTTTTGTGAGAGGGAGCAGGAACAGAAAACATATCACTCACGGAGCTCATCAAAGTGAGTGTCCACTCCATCCGGTCCAGGTATGGAGCACACAAGTCTTGCTTTGAGGAATGTCGTCCACTTGTTGGTAAGACTTCTCAAACCTCCAACATCATTCTGTATGCAAACACAAAAGCATAGAGGGTCTCTTAATTCTGTCGTGCTGAAAGCATGTTTATCATTTAAATCCTAAAATTTATAGTCTTTATAATAAGAGTGAAAAACAAGCATTTGCTTCTGATTAGAGCAGCTTATCTAATTAAGCATGGAACTACAAAAAAACACAAACCTCTCAGTTCTACACAGACTTAAGAAGTACACAAACTCGTACACAAGAGAGACAAAGAAAGAGAGTTCAAGAAATTGAGAAGAGCGAGTGAGGGAGTTTATAATGGGAATATAACGACCCTCTCTGTGAATTCTCCAAGTGCAGGTTTATGTCTTTAGGTGCACAATAGAGCACTGAGAGGTATTAGAATGAGAAGACATGCTGAGAACACTTAAATGAATCTCCTCATTATAGCCAGAAGGGTTTAATCAAAGGATTGCAATGATTTCACCTACACCCACTTAAAGCAGCAAACATATTCCTCCTCTGCCATTATCCTTGTTGAAAAACACACACTTGAGAAAAAGGGGGGGGGAGACCTAAAAGAGGTTTAGGAGTGGTGTTATCCAAATTCTTTAATCTTCAAAGATGCCCTCTCTAGTGTTAGGCCAGTTATCCAGTGAGGAATCTGGCCTCGGATAGCTTTACAGCTCACTCCTAAAGCTATAAAAACCCACTCGCTTCAGACCAAGAATTTTGCAATAGAGCTTGGAATTTTTATAGCATACAGTCCGGGAGGATGAGCCTACAGCATTAAGGAAACTGCTTTAAATCATTGACTTTTTATAATTGCAGGCTGACAGGTGACTTGCATGGACAATTACTTAAAATGACTACGGAGCTCTATTCAATATTTGATTCTGATTGGTCAAATGCAGCATTCTGCATTGAAATATTTTTGCATATCAATAACTGTTTTCAACATACAGTATAAACTGTATCATTTCTATATTAATCATTTAAAAGTCTGGGGTCAGAAAGACTTTTTACTGTTTCTGAGAGAACTCTCTTATGTTCACCAAGGTTGCATTTATTTGATGGAAAATACAGTAAAACAGTAACATTGTGAAATCTTATTACAATTTAAACACTTTTCTATTTTAATACATTTTTAAATTTAATACATTTCTGTGATGCAAAGCTGAATTTTCTTCAGCCATTACTCCAGTCATCAGTGTCATCAGTAAAATAAAATCTTACTGACCCCAAACTAAACTGAAATGAAGTTGAATAGATATGACTTACAACTTATTGCCTGGTTGTTCCTTGATTTGATATTCTATCAATAGTGCAAGTTTCTTTATTTGCACATCGTAAACGGAATTAATAATTGTGGTGGTTTTTACCCCGGCGCCTGAACCCAATAATTTATGGCTAAATACCGCTACAATTTGAATGGTAGTGTACATGTATCAGTGCTGGTTTTATGTCTCTTGTATCACTCATGGTCATATTACTATGTGGTTTCTTTCTTCTCACATAATAAAATAATTTTAACTCAAAACAGTATTTAATAAGCAGTATAATGTGTATAGTCAGACTATACATTAGTTTCTTCATAAATTAAAAACCAGAAAAAGAAAATCTACAGCTGTCTTTTCATATGTTTTTGTTTAAAACGCATGCCATTTGTTTATTGCACTGATTATCCATGTGTACATGTTGAGGGTTTTAAACGTTCAAAACAAGATGAAATGTAGCTAATAATATTAAATTAAACTGAAGGTTTTTTTTATGAGTAATCGCCACCCAGGATCGCAAACGGCAAAATTACTTTCATCTTCTGTGTGCTTTGATGACAGCCTTGTGGAAGAGACCTTTGTGAAGGGAATCAATTACTCATTTTCTTTAGGGAGTGACCTTGTGAATAGAGTTCATTTCCCACAGTGTTCTTCATGGATGTAAAAATGATGCATTTGCGGTCAGTGTGATGCTTGAACTGTTGTTCCCCATAGTTTATTTTGACTTCAGATTAATTCAAATCTGACTTATTTATGGATGTTTTTTATGTAATGCCCCCAGCCTTCATAGTGAACTGTTGTTAAGGGATGGGCAAAACACAATGTGTTAACATGGAGTCACTTAGCACACTTATTTCGCTACGCAAGGGACTTCCACTGTCATCATGAACAACGACTTGGGCAGCAATTACATGGCCAGATCTCTGCTATGATTTACCCCGCCTGACAACAGTGGTTTGGTCCACTTTCAGCAGATCACATCAAGGGGAACGTACCAGGAAGCCTCCCCTCCCAGGGGAAGCACGTTTAATCTTATGTGCTAAGGAAGGATCAGAGAGATGAGGTGAGTTCCTCTCTGATCAGGCAGCGTGAGGACAGGTCTTACCCGGCAGATCCGGGCGACACGAGACAGCACGCTCTTGTCCGTAGTGCTCCCATCACGGGACACCTCGCGGAAAAAGAAGTAAATCTTGTCATCGTCAGAGTTGTAGGTGTCCGCGATGGGATGGGCGGAAATAAACTTGCCCTCTGTGGGGACAAAAGAGAAAAGCTGGTCAGCTTTATTATGGTCAATTGGTCATTTATTTCTGTCATGCCAATCCACCTATTACTTTATAAGACTCACAAGAAAGTGTAGAGGCCTATTAAAAGAGCTAAGACTCACTGTTTGTGTGTTTGACAGAGTATAAAGACAAAACTGTTTCCTACTGTTTAGTGTAAATGCTAGGCATTTCCTTTTAGACTCACAGCAGACTGTTAATGGGTGTTTAGGATTTGGAAAATAGACTGTGTGGATTTAAACTCCATTAAATTGCATCAGCCACTAGAAGAGCTCTAACATTGAGGAGGAAACCAAAGGTGGAAGAAAGACAGTTATTAACTCAATGACTAGACAAAGACTGTATTATACTGGACTGTCTGCAAATGACTCAGACTCAAATAGAGAGGGGAGAAGAGGAGATGAAAATGCCAGCAGTTGGTATAAAAGATTGGATTGTTACTACTCTCAGAGTTATTCAAGTTATTCAAGTCCAAGCAGAAGATATACTGTATCACATTTAGTTTTTCAAGATATTTAAGAGGTGGAAGTCCAAAGATAATATTTATGAGCTATTTGACACATTTATGGATATATCTAAAAACCTCAGGTTGAGTTAATAACAGCAAATGCAATTTTGTACACTCTGGCAACTCACACACACCTGACCATAATTTTTTTTTTCTATGCTGGTTGATTTGACTCATCAATTTTTATGATTTAAGGATCTTTTCTCCTAATCATATGAGTTATATATCCTAGACACACAGGCAACGCCTCAAATGTGGTACATTTTAATGCCGTAATAACTTTTCCACAGACTGTGAGAATAAATCAGTTTGTGGTATCAGTGTATTAATGACTGTGCCTTTGCTATTTTCTGTGGTTTTGGTTTTTCCCATTCTGTCACTTATGTTTTGTATGTGTGTTAGCATGAGTGTGAGCTTATGTGTGTGGCCAAATGCTGTTTTTATATACACTACCGTTTAGGGTACACAAAAGTTTAGGGTAAGTAAGACTTCTTTTTTGTGGAAAGAAATTAATACTTTTTTTTCAGAGAGGATGCATTAATTCTATGAAAAGCAAAATATTTCTATTTCCAATAAATGCTAAATGTTTTTTTTTTCTATCTTTCATAAAAGAATCCTGAACAAATATTAAGCAGCACAACTGTTTTCAACACTGATTATGATAGGAAAGGCTTTTTTAAATCACCAAATTAGTATAATAAAATTCTAGAATTATGTGACATTGAAGACTGGAGTAATATGTGCTCAAAATTTAGCTTTGCATGACAGGAATAAACTAAATAAAATAAAAAACATCAAAATAGAAAACAGTTATTTTAAATTGTAATACTATTAAAAGAATATTGATGTTTTTACTGTATGCTTTGATCAAATAAATGCAGCCTTAGTGAGCATAATTGATTTCTTTCAAAAACAAAAATGCAACATGTAAACCATCACTGCAAAATTCCCTCATTAAACTCCCTCATTCAGAACTTTTCAAGGACAATAAATTAAACCTAGAAACTAAACTAAACAGGTTGTATGTCATTCACTGAGTGCTGGTATGAGTGTATTGAAGCGGACTGGTGGGGAGCACTGACCGTTTATCCAGTAGTCCTCAGAGATGTCTGTGCGAATGTACTGCTGGTCTGGGGGCGGCCCGAGAGAGCGGCTAAACGTGCTGTCCTTGCCCAGGAAATCAGACGCCGTGCCAGCATAGAGATACTGATCTGAAAACAAAAAGGGAGCATCTCAGCGTAAACATAGAGCTGTGGTCAGTCGGGCTGTAGGCACGTTTACTACAGCTGACCATCAAGTCATCAGCATCAGCATTCTCTTGTTCTCTTTTCCTCACACGTGCACTGAAAAAAAATGATTCATTGAATTTACAAAAAAAAAATGTATCCTTGTGCGGTCTTCGGTCACTTCTGACTGGAGAATTTTACATTTTGAATTTTTTTAAATCGTAGCTTCACCAGAATGGTACGAAACTGGGTGACCTTTATGGCACTTGGTATGTGAACAGAAAGAAAAATTGAGGGCATAATTCGAAAAGCTAAGTGGTCGTAAAAAATAGTCACACTCATGGTCTTCAGTCAAAAATGACCGACCATAGGAAATGAATGGGAAATGGGAAAACAATCGAAAATACAGACAATTTTTGTGTGTACAATCTACAAATCCCACACAATGCAGAAAAAAATTGCACAGCAATGAAGGGGTGAAACTCTAAAACATCTAGAGTGCAAAATCAACACACCAACTCACACACGCGCGGACACACACTTGAACACACACCTATATGTTATGTATAAACAATTATGTATAAAAACATCTAGGGAATTCACAAGCCTCTCTATAGAGTCCTATACAGGAATCTAGTGGTTACACCATTAAATTACAGGTTTTTTCTTTTTTTTTGCTCTCACCAGGAGGTGCTATTCTGCTTTCAAAAATTGGATTTTACAGGCCTAGTCTCTATTTTAATCTGAAATACTGCATTAATTGAAAAATAATTGTAAAAAATTAGAAAAAAATGTTTGTACTATTTATAATGGGAAAAATTGATCATAATTATTGCATAAATATTAACTAGTACCATAAAATTATCTCAAAATACAAAAGAAAAAATATTATTGAACAAAAATATATTAGATTGATTTTACTGAAGAAAAAAAAAAA